GGGCTGCCCGGGGCTCCCAGAGCCAGACAGCCCGCAGCAGGGGTGGGGTGGGCTGAGGCCCCAGGGGAGGTGGAGTTCGGGGGCGGGAGGAAGAAAGCAAGCGCAATGGGCGGCCGGCCGAGGGGGACCCGGCGCGCACCGAGGGCGGGAGGGAGAGGGGACCCCGGAGTCGGACGGGCGCTCCCCCAAGGGGAGAGGAGAGCGGACAGAAGGAGGCTCAGAGGGGAGACCCGGAGAGGGTGACCGAGAGGGAAAAGACCGACATAGAGAGCAGGGGGTGGGGGTTAAATGGAGGGACAGACGGACAGAAAAGGAAGCATAGAGGGAACACACAAAAGGACAAGGGAAGAAACCCGGAGAAAGACAGGCATGGAAGAGGAGAGGAGAGACCCCAAGACCGCCGGGGGAACGGAGGAGACCGAGGGAGGGCGGAGGAGGCAACGGGACAGCAAGAAAGAAACAGACAGATCAAAAGAAGGAGAATGAGGGAGGGACTAAGGGACAGGAAGGCTGAGAGGCAGAGGTGGACGCAGAATGGACACCGGAGAGAGAGCGGGCGAACTGGGGGTGCAGCCGGCAGGGAGGGAGCAAGACAGAGGGAAAGGGAGGATGGAGACGGCTGGAAAGCGATGGACAGATGGACAGTCAGACGGGATGCGGAGGACAGATGGACAGACACAGAGGGAAGGAGATGGATGAGAACCAAAGGGAGGGGACACCAGACCTGAGACGTGATCAGAGCGGGGTCCAGGAGAGGAAGGGAAGCCGGCAACACCCGAGGAGGTTGCAGGCTTCTGACCCTGGTGGGGACAGGCAGCAGAGCGGACGTGGGGGCTCCGGGAATGTCCCAGCGACCCTGGCAAGCCCACCCCTCCCCCTCCTGCTCCGCCGGGTGTCTGGAAGGGGCTCTCCCACAAAGCCGAAGTCACAGTCTCTCCTCCCACATCTTTAGGGGAGCTTCCTCCCTTTCTGCCCCTGGTTGGGGGAGGTGGGAGGAAGAGGGTCCTGCCTGCCCCTGCGGTTCTCTCTGGCTTTCTCTGGGCACCCCCTGGCTGCTGCGCTGGGCTCTCCGAGGTCTGTGTCTGGACACGGAGTCTACTCCTGGGAGTCACACCCTGAGTGAGGGTGCCAGGCCATTTCAACTATTGTGCAGTTGGAGCTGAGCAGTTTTTCACGCCCCCCGCCCCCTGCTGGGCCCGGCTGTCCACGCCCCCACTTGTCTGTGGGTGTCTCTCCCACGCTTTGGGGGTCCTTCAACCCTGTTTGACTGTATCCTGCATGTGCTTCTCCCCACCTCTGCCTCCTCTCTGCTTGTGTGCGTCTCCACCCCCAGCCCCACCCGCTGGAGCCTTGTGCTGTGTAACAAACCGAAGGTGGAGCCTGTGATGGGGGGGCTGGGCTGCCCTACGGAAGAAGCCCCCAGCCCAGAGAGGAGAGAGCCCACGGGAACAAACGGTCATCTGCCCTCAGCTGGGCTGCCCTGCGGAAGAAGCCCCCAGCCCAGAGAGAGAGCCCACGGGAACAAACGGTCATCTGCCCTCTCCCAGGCCCCACCTAAAGACATATTTGGAAGGCGTCCTGGGAGGTGCCCCCACCGCCCTTCGCCTAACATTCATTCACTTCTATCCTCATGAGGACACCTACCTAGGTAGGGGGCGAAAGGGGCTCCAGAGCCCCTCATTCCTGTGCCCTGACCCTTGAGAAGTGGGAAGAGCCTAACCCTGCGGGTGCCGTCTCAGTCCTCCTCCCTGGAAGGATGCAGATTGGCCCCCTCTGGCCTCTGGCTTCCTGCCTTTGAGGCTGTGCCACCCCTGCACAGGGGTCCCTCTGTCATCACTTCCTCAGAAGGGGATGTTCTGCTGGGCCAATGTTCCTGCAGACCCCCGGGCACGCGATGACTGGCTCTGGCCTCCTGCCCCCACCCCACACCCCCCATTCCACCTTCCTTTGGGCAGCTGTAGGGGATGATCTACTGACCTGAGCAGAAATGATCACCCTGAAAAGTGATGCCACCTGCCGTGTGTATGTGTGTGCATGCATGCGTGTGCATGCATGTGTGCATGCATGTGTGTGTGTGCATGCGTGTGTGCATGCATGTGTGTGTGTGCACGCAGGTATTTTTTTCTGTGTTTCTCTTTAATGCCTCTCTTCCTTTGGGGGACTAGGGCAAGTAGGGAGGAGTCCCCGGGCGAGCAGTGGTTCTCTTAGAGAGGCCCCCCCCATGCAAGCTTAGAACCCCAATGCCAGCCAAGGAAGTAATTCAGAGTGGACATTTTATTTTTATTTTTTTATTTTTTTTAGGCGAGGCAACCCTTGGTTGACCTCACAGATTGCAAGGACCTTGTCAGCTTATGATCCCTTATTTTTTTATTTTTTTCGCCTACAGCAACTGGTCTTCTTAGGTGGTCTCCCATCCAAGTACTAACCAGGCCTGACCCTGCTTAGCTTCCGAGATCAGACGGGATTGGGCTTGTTCAGGGCGGCATGGCCGTAGACTAAGAGCGGACATTCTTGAGGACCAGCCTAGGGGGAGGCCAGAGGCATGAAGAGAAGAGGACATTCTAGGACTTCCCCAGGCTCGCCCCTGGGTGACTCTGGCTGCAGAGAGTTCCTTGCGCTGCCTTTCTGGGTCCTTCTATCTGTCTGTGGTCCATCTGTAAGTCATTCATAGCTAGCTGGAAGTAACATAGTACGTAGACGAGCTCTGAACCTGAGCTCCAGTTTCTGCCACTAATGAGCTACCGAACTACAACAAACCTCCCTGGACCTGTTTCCCCATCTGTAACCTAGATTATAGCTAAGGTTCTTCTGATTCTGCTGTCCTGTGCCCCTAGGGTCCTCTCCCTGTCTGAGGGGTGTGTGTGTGTGTGTGTGTGTGTGTGTGTTGGGGTGTATGCACAGATACACAAATCTATTTTGCATTATTTTGCCCAAAACCTGTTCCAGACTGAAGGCGTATGTGTGTGTTGGGGGTGGGAGGTGGGGAGTGCCAGGAGCCCTCAAAACTTAGACTGAACTTGGCTTTGTAAGTTGGACTATGAGAACCAGTTTCGCACCTAGGAAAGAGGATGGGAGATCAGACCCATGGGTGAGCCAGTTGGCCCAGCTGAGGGGAGGGTTTCACTGCTAGGACGCGCCAGGCTGAGGATGTGGAAGCCACATGAAAACTCCTGTATTTCCACAGCCTAGGGACTGGGCGGGGTCCCATGTTCAGGTCACCTGCATGGGCCTCCTGGCTTGGCCTCTGCTCATGGGTCCATACTAGCCTTAGTTTCCCCATCTGTAACCCCAAAGGGAAAGACTTAAATTTCTTCACAGATCCTTCTGGCTCTAAATTCTAGAATAAGGGGAGTCCGGGGCGGGGCGGGGCGGGGCGTTGGAGCGATGCTTGTGGGGAGAGCATGACGCACAGA